CAGGCCAGGTGCATGTGTACTGTTTTTATAAATAAAGCTTCATTGAAATACAGTTGGGCTTTATGTATTCTCTATAGCTTCTTTTGAACTACAATGGCATAATTGAGTAATAGTTGAGGCACAGTGGGCAGTATATAGCCTGCAAACCTAAAATATTGGCCATTTTAGGAAATAGGAATTGAACGTCCTTCAGGAAAGCATCTGTTTGGGAGGCTGAGGTGAGAGGATTGCTTGAGCCCAGAAGTTCAAGACCAGCCTGGGCAACCTGGCAAGATCCCATCTCAAAAGGAGAAAGAGAGAGAAAGAGAAGAAAAAGAGAGGAAGGAAGGAAGGAAGGAAGGAAGGAAGGAAGGAAGGAAGGAAGGAAGGAAGGAAGGAAGGAAAGAAGGGAGGGAGGGAGGGAGGGGAAAATATTTGCTCACCCCCGGCCTAAAGTATTTTAATATGCTATGAATAAGTAACTGCTGCATCTTTTATTTTTCACTTTTCTGAATGGGAGATATTATTGAAGTTATTTTGTTCTTGTTGTACCACTATATATTGGGTGCATAAGATTAGAGTGGGGTGGCACTTGCAGAAAATTTGTCCTTCTAATTCTTAACTTCTAGGATCATGGTGGAGAGAACTGAGCATCACCAAGTGATTCTGATCTTTGAGCTATACCCTGTGATTGAATGGGACTCTGAGTTGTCTCTCCCATAAGAGAAAGAAAGACATTTGGTGGCCAGAAATGTGTATTGTGGTATAAGTAATCCTGTGTATTAACTAAATGGCATTTCTTCTTCTTCCTGACCTCACAGTTAGACTTCATTTTCCAACTCCCTGGCAGTTAGGTGGGGACAAGAGACTAAGTTCTAGTCAAAGGAACATACACGGAAGTCATATATACCTCTTCCAGGTCTACCACCTAAAAAGTAGTATACCTCTGCCACAATTCTTTGTTTTTTTCTTTTTCTATTTTCTTTATAAAGGAGAAGAAAATAGGAGCCTAAAATATGGCAGAGGTGAATAATAAAAATAGCCTGGGTTCCTGAATGACTGGGTGGAGCATAGCCTCCACTGACCCAAATTGAACTATAATGTGAGTAAGCAATACATGTTTATGCAATAAATATTTACTGAGTCAAGCCATTGAAGTGTTTGTATTGTCTGTTAAAGGAGTTATCCATCCCTGATGAATACTATTAGACACTGTATTTCAACATGAGGATGAATAATTTGTGGACCTGTCCTTCAAGAAACTCACAATACAATGAGAGAGACATGCACCCACAAAGTGATGATGATAATTAAATATTATAAGCTTACAAAGATAATGTACTTGATACTACAGCAAAGACAACTGACCCACTATTGGAGAATTAAGGAAGGCTTTCTAGTAGAGGTAATGCCCAAACTTGACCCTGAGTCAGGAAAACCCACAGAAAGAAAAAGTGAAATAAAGCAAAGAGATAATAAAAATAAAGATGCAGAGGCAAGAAATGGCAATTTATTTGCTTAGTGGACTCCAAGCAGGTGCTGATATTAATTTTTAGGTAAGGATAGGCAGAAGTGAAGGCCAGAATCAGATCATGATGAATCACACATTCATCATGTTGGGAGAACAAGAGGGTGAAGAGGTTGGTGGAGTAGTTCATACTGTTTGCAAATCTTATGAATTTGTGGAATTCATCTCAGATTGCTCAGATACTGCTGATGGCCTGGGAAGAAGTCAGTTTGCCCAAGTCCTTTGTCCTCATGAGCTATTGCTCAGGTCCCTGCTCACAGCTCCCACCCCACTGTGGCAGATGATGTGAGTGTTCAACTCACTTGATGTGTTTAGACAGATGAAACATTAAAAAGTCTATTTCTAAGGTTCCAGTGGAGGAGGTTCCTGATTTGAATTAGAGTCTACCAATCAGACACACTCATGCAGAGCTTTAATTTGAAATGTAGTTAAGAGTGGAGAGAAACAGCTGAAAGGCATTCAGTCAGCCATGCACACCCTGGCAGACTTGGCATGGTTCCAGAGCAGGCAGCAAGGACTCTCTCACTCTGAACCATCGGATCAGCAGCAGCACACATAAGAACCCAATTGTGTGGTGCAGTTTGGGGCTTTCCTGGAAATGAAGAGTCTGTTTCTTCAGGCTACTCAATGATTCAACGCTGTTTATGCCTCTTAATAAATTCATCTCCATTTAAACATGCTAAAGTGGGTTTTATTGTCTGTAACTAAGAACCCGGGCCAAGACATTCACCAAATAAGTTTCCAGCACATATGAAACTGGCACTGTGCTTTAAAAAGATTTATTCACTCAACTAATAGTTCTTGAGGCCTTACCATGTGTTGGATACTGTATACCACCCTTTGTATGTTATTTATTCATTTAATAATAATAACAATATTAACAATACTCAGAATGTGGAAATTATAGCATGAGGTTTAAATGAAAAAGAACATAAACACTTTAAATGTAAAGTACAGTTACACTCCTATAATTGTTTGTTGTGGTATCTGTGATACTTAAAGGAGTATATATAAACGCAGCCTTTCTTCAAAAGGACTGGATTATCAAGTAGGTTTCCCACCACTAGAGTTGTTCAGAGATAGAATAATAATCTGACACAGATATTGTTTAAGAGATCTCTGCGTTGCAGTGAAGTTTGATTAAATAATACTCAGAATCTCAGCTTATCCAAGTAGGGAATCCATATTTCAGCCCCTGCCTCACACCATCAAAGCAAAGCAACAACAATTTGCGGTGGACTCTCCAAAATTGTTCATCTCTTTTATATACGCAATTGGAGCTGGACTGTGACTCCTTTTGGGAGACAGATGTAGCTTGAAGGGTTTCTTCCCTCCTTGTTCTTAATTCTTCCTGCCCTGATATGGCATTCCATTTCCGAACATGGCAAGCATCTTCCCCCGGTGCCGCCCCCACATCGCCCACACTAGGGGAGTGTGGGAGAGCAGTATGCAGCCAATGTGGACACTCTGTTCTATATTTTTGTCTCCTCCTCCAGGTGTCTGAACCTATCCTTACTGGTAATTACAGTACCAGATGCTAGTTGGAAAAAAAAAAGAAACCCACAGTTTCACAAAACTGCATCTCCACTCAGACTCCTAATATTCTGTCATTAGTCACAGCTCATTTATTTGTGTTTTGGTGGCAGGAATGGTTTGGTGTGTTTTCCATGGGAAGAAAAATGAATTTCAGTGAAAAGAGCTACATGTTCATGTTCCTAATATATTTATAGAGTCAGTTTATCTAATCTTAGAGAGTTGCAGTTTGAACACTTTGATGTTCAGGGATCACATAAGGAGAACAATAGTAAGCTTAAGGAAGAAATCTTCCCGGTGAGCTGCAGGTGTCTCTGTCTAATGAACCATTCATATAACGATCCAGGTCATCTATAAAGGTCCTTTCTGGCCGAAATTGCTGCCCACATGAGAGACTCAAATCTGGTTGGTCCCACTGGCTGGTCCCGAGTATTGAAATGTGCCCCTGAAAACTATGACTTAGGAGAAGCCTGAAAACAAACACTAATCTGTATGGCCAGGACCTAGAAGAATCTAGCTTAGTCCTAATGAAAACCAGGCACTGGGCCAACTCCTTTTATATTTGGTTTTCATGAGAATCTGTCTGTGGGGGAGCTCTGAGTGTTTTTAGTGCAATAACAAGCTTGTGTTCTCTGAGCCAATTAGTATGTAATTAGGTGTTGGCTAATGAGGGGGAGGATAAAAGGTGGAGCTGGCAGAGAGAGCGGGTATGGGTGTGACTCATGTGTATGCAGGTGGTGAAGCGGCACATGTTGAGAACTAAATTGAATTTCTAAAGCCCAATAATTTGTTACACACTATTAGTAAGTTCTGTGCTAGACCTTCAGCAGCTTTTTCACATCTCTATTGAAACATGCTTCTATTCCTCTCTGCAAATTAAGATGTTCAGCACATGCATGTTAACATTTTTCCCTGGCCATCTTCTAAAAGTTTAAAATGAGGGTTGGTTGGTATGCTTGTTAGTATTGAGTTACCTATAAGAAAAACAAAAGAAAACCATTGGTTTGTTCTTCCACGCAGCATATATTTCTTTGCGTGTTCATCAGTGAGCTAAACAAAGATCCCTGCCCTCTTGGAGCTTGCATTCTAGTGAGGAGAGATGGATCATGAACAACAAACATAAATATGAAAATTATATACTACCTTAGAAGGTGATGAAAAAATTTAGGGTGAGACAAGGGATCACGTCCCCCCTCCCCCACCCCAACACACACACACACACACACACACAATGTTAAGGGATGTGTGCAAGTTTCAAAAGACAACGTCCCTGAGAAGGTAAGATTTGAGCAAAGACTTGAAGGCCTTATGGAAGGAAAATGTTGGGGGAAAAGAGGTAAGAATTGACACAAATAAGTAATGTCATGCGCCTAAAATGACTGAAGATTCAGCAAAGACCAAATGAAGAAAAAAAAAAATTCTCATTTTTTTTTATTCCTCTCATCTTTGATGTTTGTCAAAGTCTGTACTGGTGCAGGCACTTTGAGTGTTTCTGTGGCTGCAAGAGGCTCCTGATATCGCTCTCATTTGAGTTTTTTTTTTTTTTAAAGGAGCAGGGCAGAGAGCAAGGAAAATAAAGGGAAATACAGCCTTCGTGAATGAGAAGAAACTGTAGTTTCAATTGCATAGGTGGGCCAAATAGTTTTGGCACTTTTTTTTGTCAGGCAGAAAATGTGTTTTAATTCTGTGAGTCCTTCCCGAGTACACCAGAAACTGGTTTTTTTTTTTTTTTTTTTTTTTTTTTTTTTTTTTTTTTTTTTTTTCTGAGACGGAGTCTCGCTCTGTCGCCCAGGCTGGAGTGCAGTGGCGCAATCTCGGCTCACTGCAAGCTCCGCCTCCCGGGTTCACGCCATTCTCCTGCCTCAGCCTCCCGAGTAGCTGGGACTACAGGCGCCCGCCACTGCACCCGGCTAATTTTTTTCTATTTTTTAGTAGAGACGGGGTTTCACCATGGTCTCGATCTCCTGACCTTGTGATCCGCCCGCCTCGGCCTCCCAAAGTGCTGGGATTACAGGCGTGAGCCACCGCGCCCGGCCCAGAAACTGTGATATGAGCTTTTTATGAATGCAACCTTCACCATGTCTCCTGTTAACTCATCCTGGTCTTCATAAAACTGCATAGTTAGGAAGGTAATCTTCTTGGTTCTCCTGACTTCTGCGTGTCAGAGAGCTACTGCAAGTGAAAGCACCCAAGAGAGTGTAAAATACTTTAAAGATGTGAGATACTACTTTACTGCTAATCTATGTTGTTAAAAAAAATTCTAAATGATGATGAATGTGCTTGTTCTCCTTCTCCAGGGAAGCAAGGTGATAATTTGATTTTTTAGTTAACCTGATGAGTTTTTGTAGCTGTCAAGAAGTCTAAAATTGAGGTAAGCCCCAAATGATAAGTAAATTATGATATTATGGTCTGTTTTTCACCAGACTAATTCAGTAAAGCATCATCCCCACTACTTATCAAGGTACATCTCACACTGCCTGTGCCAAAGGATTCACCAATGGCAGAAACCAGAAAAAATCAAATTATTTTATTCATAGGTTCTCTTCATATTACCACCTCGCTATTATATTCATACATCATCAAGGAAACCACATTACCCCTGATGTTTACTTTTGCTGTTCTGTGCCTCTGGCAAGCTGATAATCTGAAACTAATATCCTTTTATTATTTATACAACATTTGGCGAGAGTGGAATAAGCACCAGTAAAGAGTGTTTATCTTTTGACTTTGTTTTTAATTTCTGCTCAAGAGTGCTTCTTTATTGGAAAGGGAACCAATTTTCACATCTCCAATTATGTAAGGAATTTCATGTGACAATATGGTTTAATTGACATCATAGATCCAAATTATTCCAGTCATATTTAGTCCTTCTTATAACTAGTTCTGTGGCAGTAGCCTCACCAAGCTCCTGCTTGAAATCTACTCACTGTGAACTTCCTTTCCAATCTAACTTCGCTCTTTCATAAGATTCTGCTAATTCATTGACTTCTCCCAGTCCTCAAAGTTAACTGCAGGTGAACATTTTATTTTTGAGCAGACGGACTTAACATTAATATTGTTCTTTGTGTATGAAGGTGACCTTACTGACTGACCAGCCTAGGGGCAGACATTTTGATTTTTTTCTCCAGTAATGGGTATAGATTTATTCTGGCATACTTATGGCCTTGCTGAGTAAAGCTGAGGCCATGAATCAGAGTAAGGCTGATTGGCCTCCATAGAGCATTGACCACATAACCATACACTTATTAGCACCATGGGCTAATCTGCTGCATTAATGGTTACAGATGTTGTGTTTAATATCCAAGTCAAAGCTAACCTTTGCAAAGCAGAACAGACTCTGTGCTAAGTACCAGACATAGACCATTTTCTATGCTCTACAACTCAATAAGATTGGTAGTCTTAGTCTGTTTAGAGTGAGAAGATGAATACTTAAAAGGATTAGGTAATTTGTCCAAGGTGACAATGAGAATAAGTAGTAAACCCAGGATTCGAACCCAGCTTTAATATAGAGCCATCATTTTTAACCTCTACACTAAACTGTGTCCTTCATTAATGGTATACCTAAGTTATAGCCTGTAATCTATACTGTAATCTAGCCCTGTAATAATCAGGAATAAGATGACTTCTATACAAGGGCTATACTATACTATCCTTGACCAAGAAATATCTCCAAGTTTCAAGCAAACTCAAAGCTTCAGGTCAAACTTCCTCTTCAGAGTTAGCCATAGAGAATATAGGCCAATATATGGTATATTGTCCTGATACTTAAAATATTTTCTGTAAGCAAAGATTTATCAGGAAATTGATTTGCTGAATGGCCATGGGGGCACCATCACATCCACTCCTGCTTCAGTGAGCTGACCAATTGGGTCTTTATTCCTCACAAGCAGGTTGCTTGCTGAAATCTAATTTATTAAATCCATCAAATTTTGGTTTACAGTGTGTACCCAACAAAAGCAAAATAATCTCAATTTCAAAGATAAACGTATACAAATTGTATAATTCATATAATAGACTGTTCTACTGATAATCAATGAACAAAAATATGTCATATTTTAAGATGATCTTGCAATTAGGGGAAAAAGGAGATTTTCCTCAATTAAAAAATTAGTAGGCATATGTAGAATATAGTATGTTTTAAGTGAAAAATCAGAAAAAATGATTTAGAAATGGCAGTATTTCTTCATCTTTGAAGGATTTAAGCTATTTTAAAGAGATTTTTAAACCTTTGAGCTTTAGAGGGAAAAAAATGGTCTACCAGTAGTCACAAAAATAAAATGTAAATTAATTTTTGCTGTAAGAAGCAAAATATGAAATGCTCCACAAGATTTACTTTTGTGTGGTGTTTTTTTCCTTTTTGTTTTGCTTTTACTTTTAGCAAGAAACACAAAGTGTCATGAAATAATTACAAGTAGTAACAAATTTTTTATAAGACTGGAAAACATTGCTCTTAGACAAGTTTGAGGTCAAATCTCAAGTCAAACACTTACTGACTGTGTTATTTTACATGAGTTAGTTAACTCTCTAAGTTCTAAAAAATGTTTAATATAAAGTAAGACACTCTCCCGTGGAATCTTGGGATAACCAAATTGTGGTAGACTATGTATGCAAAGAGGTGGGCATAGTGCATGCCTTATAGCAAGTGCTCAATGGATGCACATTGCAGTCTTTTTAAAATCTCTATTCTCTATTTTAGACAATGAAAGCAAAATTCAATAGAAGAAAGGAAAAACGAAGAAGACAACATTAAAGGAGAAGATCAAGGTAATTTTACTCTAAGAGATCGTAGAAAAATACAGAAAGTAACAGGAAAAATGCGATGTTTTAATAGAAACATAATATTAGTGCTTTCAAAGCTTTAAGAAAAAGAAAGTTAATTTATTAATAATGTAATACCCAAGTTTCATAACGGGCACTAAGCAATCTCAACATGAGTAACAAAAGTATTTCAACTGATACTTAAAAGATGGACACATAAGACTTCCTGAAGCCTTTTTAAAAAATGTCCAACAGAGAAAGCCCTAAATTTCCATTTTGAGGAATGTGACATCTAATTATACAGGGAAAACCTTTCTACTTTCATTGAACATCATCTGCATACCATAACCTTTTAAGAAAGCATTGTTAAATCACTTAAAGCTATGTATTGTTTTCACAGCTCTAAGAATAAATGAAGATTATTACCACTTGGAATTTCCCTATTGTGTCACCATCTGAGTAACAGACGTAGCCACATTTCTAAATGTTGCTCCACTACTGACAAGTTACTATTTGGTCCTGGCAGAAGTTGCTTCAGTTTTTTTGTTTGTTTGTTTGTTTTGTTTTGTTTTGTTTTGTTTTCTGTTTTTCAGCTTTCCAGCATCATACTGGGGCTTAATAATGCCTTTGGCTTTGGGATTGGGATTTTTTGATGTGACCAAACAGCCATTTATGTTCTCAGAAAACTGGAATAGGAATATCCTATGGTGGAAGAAAAGAATGGACCATGATGAAAATTTCTACACCAGAAGACTTGAGAGTAATTATGTCCTTCCCCACCTCTAGCCCCCACTCCCTACCCATCATCCCTCATTTCACTATATTTGACACATCAGTCAAGGGACTGATGTGTTTTAAATAGCAAATAGAGAGTCTTCCAAGAACCCTGACTATTTGAACATTGCTTCTATGGTCTCGGCAACTGAGCCCTTGCCCACCCTTCGTAGGGCAAGAAAGAGACCCTTACTCCTAAGCTTTTGATACCAAATACAGTCTTCTTTCTACTTACAGTAGTGCAATCAATAAGATTGAGACTGTAAACATCCAAATCTCTTTTAGCTGGATCACATTTGATGGGTAGTAGCTATGATCAGAGTAACCTAGTTGCTAATTATGTAGTAAACAGTACCCAGGGTACCCTGGGACTGTGCAGTGACCTCATATGACTAAATTACAAATGATTACTCTTCATGAGACATTTATAAGTTGGTATATCATTTCTACTTCAAACAGTTACTCTCAACTTATGATTTTCACAGTGGGGAAATAACAACTGTATAATGAACTAATGGAAGTGAGGGTTTGGAGTGTGGGTGCACTGTGCACTCTCTGATCACAGCTGGGATTTTTTTCCCCTCCAATTGTTTGAAGCTATTATACTATATCATTTTGTAGTAACAAATAGTGTTGGGATGATAGAAGAATTATTTAAGTGAAATATTATAAGTTCTCAATAGTAATAACTTCATTGTATCATGTTGAAAAATCACATATCATGTTGAAAAATCACACAAAATGTCATATTCAGTGATAGTGTATTCATCAGGCCAGGGCAGTAGAACAAGATGCTTCACCAGGATTTTGGATAGAATGTAATGGTCTTTCTGCATAGATGTGAGTGGATCCAAGGGTACCAACAGGTATGTTGTGATACCCAGGGACTCAGAACCCATTACTGCCGGTGGATATGAGGGGCTAAAGAGAGATCATGATGTCACTAGAGCCCAGTGACAGTTGGAGCCAAGAAAGGAGGAGAGCATGGCCAAAACAATCACGGACAGAGCCCCCAACAGTATCTTGATCTCTCCCTGCTTCCACTCTCAGATCCCCTTCCTGTGTCTTCCACTGGCAGATCCAACCAGAAGCCAGAGGGAAAAGGTGCTCCATTTACATAGTCAGTAAGAGTCAAATTTCTGGAGTAAAAGCAAGGTAGAAAAGGGCAAGCAGATTAGGGGTGAAGGCATGGCACGAAATGTGGAATAATCACAACTCCTCAGTGCTGGTGAACCCTACTGTTTGCTTTTGGTCCCACTCAACATCTTTAACCACTTGGGTAAAGAAATAGTGCCAGATTATTAGACTGTGAATAACAAAAAGCTGAAATCTGTGATTAACCAACAAGTCTTCTGTCTATCAAGATACAAAATTATCTTGACAGATAGAAACTCACAAAATAAAATTTAATAAGAAAATTAGATAAGTTTCCCAGTTAGGATAATAATAAGTTTTCTTTTTCAGGATAATGGGAAGGGTGGGAAAAGTGCTTCATGACAGTACACGTCCTAAAAGATGTGAATGTCAATTGACGATGGGTCATGATTGCTTACAAAGCAAATGTAATCTGAGGTTGCACTTTCAGTGGCTGCTAGACACCTCCAGCTGCCTATTCTACACGCTTCTCAAATGCAGCTTGCCAAAGCCTAATCCTGTTACCTTCCCAATCTCCCTCCAAAACTGTTTGAACTCCTCTGTTCTTTCTTTGGTTATTGGTGTACTGCACACAGGGTTCTCAGCTAGGAGCCTTGGAGTTATCACATGTCTCCTTCCTGTCCCATGTTTAATGCATCACTAAATCATGCTGATTCTATCTGAAAACATCACCTGAATACCCATTTTTATTTCTCTACTCCATTGTCCTTGCCTTTTTCAAGCCCCACTGTTTCCAGTCTCTAGACTTCTATAACAGCTTTCTCATTTTCCTGACTTCAGTCCATTCTCCCTACAGCCGTTAGTTACCTTCTGATAAACAAATGGGCATTTATCAGTCCTAACTTTACAAACTCTGTTCTCATGGTGGCATTTAGGACTAAGGGTGGACTCATTATTTAGTATAAAAGACACATTCCAGTCTCATGTCCTTGTAGGACTTCTCTTCTAGTATATACACATCTTTACTCCAGCAACAAAGAACTGCTGTTCTGAAGATACCACAAGGCTTTGTGCTTTTGTGCTTGTGTATTCCCTCTGCCCGAAGTGCTTCTCCTCCTTTGCCACTCTTGATACACCCATATTCAGCCTTCCTGACACCTCCTAGGCATCTACCTCTGATTTCCTCCTAGAAAGTGTGCAGCCACAGTTCTTCGCTCTAACTTCTGCAGTAACACCTGCCTGTTTGTATGTATCCTTCCACCACCATTTCTAATTTATTTTTACTCCCCTAACACTCAGTAGAATATCTTCCATATAGATTTCATTCAATCTAATTCCATCAGATTTCAACTAAATCTTTGTTGACTTATGAGTGCATCAATTAATTAATTGAAATGTATTGTCTAGAACATAGAAGCTAATGATACCACTACATTGGTCAGGCTATTTTCCATGACTTGGCCATTTTAAGAAATCCACAAACTATATCATAACCAGGAGATAACACATGGCATAGAGACCATATCATATTTCATCCTTCTATTGGTCTTTCTTCTGAAATAGGAATAAGATCATTTATTCTGAGGTTACCTCATATTTCTAATCATATAAAAATATCAAGTCAAAAACAGTCCTCATGTTATGAAGTTGCAATACAGCTATGCAGCACATAATGACATTCCAGTCAAAGAAGGACTATATATACCATGGTGGTCTCATAAGATGAGCTGAAGAATTCATATCACCTAGTGACATTGTAGCCTCATAACATTGTAGGACAATGCATTATTCATGTTTTTGTGGTGATGCTGGTATAAACAAACAAACTGTGATGCCTGTCATATAAAAGCATAGCACACACAATTATATACAGTACCCAATACTTGATAATGATAATAAATGATTATGTTACTGGTTTATGAATTTATTATACTATTTATTATTTGTGAGCACACTCTTTCTACTTATTAATATAAAAAATGTTAACTGTAAAACAGCCTTAGGCAGATCCTTCAGGAGGTGTTCTAGAAGAAGGCATTGATATCATGGGAGATGACAGCTCCCATATGTGTTATTGCCCCCGAAGACCTTCCGGTGGGACAAGATGTGGAGGCAAAAAACAGTGTGATATTGATGATGCGGGCCCTGCGTAGGCCTACTTTAATGTATGTGTTCGTGTCTTAGTTTTTAACAAAAAAGTTTAAAAAGTGAAGTAAACATAAAAAATTTTAAAAATAGAATAAAACCTTATAGGAGAAGGCTATCAAAAAAGAAAATATTTTTGCACAGCTGTACAATGTGTATTTTAAGCTAAATGTTATTATAAAACAATCAAAAAGTTTTTAAAACCTTAAAAGCTTATAAATTGAAAAAATTACAGTAAACTAAGGTTAATTTATTATTGAAGAAACTTTTCTTATAAATTTAATGTAGCCTAACTGTACAGTACTTATAGTTTATAGCAGTGTACGGTAATGTCTTAGGTCTTTACATTCACATGCCACTCACTCATTGACTCATGCAGAGGAAACTCCAGTCCTGCAAACTCCATTTATGGTAAGTGCCCTATACAGTGGCACCATTTTTTATCTTATACCATATTTTACTCTAATTTGTCTATGTTTATATGTGTTTAGCTACACACTTACCACTGTGTTACAATTGCCTGCAGTATTCAATATAGTAACATACTCCTAGGAGCAATAGGCTATACCAAATAGCCTAGGTGTGTAGTAGGCTATACCATCTAAGTTTGTGTAAGTTCACTCTACAATGTTCGTATAATGTCGAAATCGCCTAATGACGTAGTTCCCATAAGGCATCCTCGTCGTTAAGTGACCCATGACAGTAGTAGAGCAAATGCATGCAAAGTGTTTACATACCTGATACATACTAAGTATTCAATAAATACAGAATTAAAATTATTATTGGGATTTTTAGTAGCAGAATGTAACACTATTATCATATACTTTTACTTAAAATGTTATCTGTACCAATTTTCAAGATAGGAGTCCTGCCTAAGATAGCTGTACCTATACAAGTTAACCTTTAGCTAAGCACAGTACTTTTCACTCAATTATATCAAGAGAAGAAAACTTCCAATGTTATTAATTCTTTCTGCTTTCAGGTTGGTTTCTCCTAAATGACCCCAGATGTCATAATTTACCTCTCTCTGCATTAAATGTTGTTTAATTGCAAGCTACAGAAACACATTCAGCATAACAATACAGTAAGTGCAATGTATCAGGAGGACATCAGGGATTTGCCTGAAACCTGTAATCAGGAAGGACAGCCAGGTTTCACAGAAACTGGTCAGTCTCTGCTCTCCTCAGCACCATCATCATTTGCTCTTGTATTTGTGTGTATAGGCTGATTTTTTCATACTCCAGGATTAGCTTTGGCTCTTCCTCAGGGCACATGATGGGCAATGCCATCACCCCGGGGTTTGTACTGCTTCCAAACCCCGTGTCCGTTAACAGGCTGTGCTTTCTAAATTCCAATGGCACATTTCTAAGAATTAAATTTGTTGGTCTTGTTTTAGCCAGTTGTCTTCCTATGACCTATCTACTATGGGCAGGAACAGTGAGAACAAACTCTCCTGCAGGCACACGTCCCTGTCCTAAGGAGCATGACTTTCAGGGAAGCTGGGATGGCCGGCTATCTCAACTCTTCCTACTCCACAGTGCAATTGCTCATGATGCCCAAGGCAGGAAACTAAAATAGGTTTAATCCCAGTCTTTAAAAATTTTCCATACATAAAGACTTTCTTAAGTCTAAATTAAACACTTTCTGTTATTGGCTAATAATCTCAATTCTTTGTCTATTTCTACTGCATGTAAAATTGCCGGGTCATGTTAACTCTGCATAATAACTTTTGGAATAAGATTACCA